TCGTTTTGGAGACAAATAATGAAAAAAACTGTTATTTTTCATTTTTTCATTTTGGTTTTATATTGAAAAACCAATGAACGAACGATACACAGATTTCACACATTCACTTACTTCATGTATTTGTTTAATAATCATTCTCTACTGTTCAACAACTACAGAAGGATCAATCCGTGGGCTCCGGGCCTCGGGTTTTTCTCTTCCTTGTTTTTCTTTCACACACCTCCGAGGCGTCCGGCGTGTTTTTTGACGCTGTGGTCTGGTTTATATTTGTTGTCACAGGGTCTTTACGAAGGCCCAGAAGATGTCGTGACTTGATTTACACGGGTCTTCGTTGGTGTTTGTTTAGTTCAGCGCCTGCAGGAAAAGTCACTGATTTACCCAGATACAGTTGGAAGAAAAACTGTGATTGGTCCATTTCCAGTCCACTATATTGACTCATGCTTAGACACTCAACTGGTCAAAACAGACAATAACACCAAAACACTTTTAAATGTGACTCTTTACTCTACTTCTGCCTCGGGAGCTCAAATCGAGAAGTGTCCCTTATTTATTTATCAGGGAGTTGGCAACTCCAGGAGTGATAAATAGAGACAAAATAAAAAGAGACAGATCCGTTTGTTGTTCCAGTTATTGTTGTATGTTTCCTCTTGTAAATGTATAACTTGATGACTCGCAGGATTTCCTCAGAAGTGGCGACTGTAAACGCCATTTATCTGGTGTAAAAATAACACGCTGCCTCTTCTGTGTCTGGAACTGGATTTGGTCAAGTGTTTAAAGCTTTACCAGCAAAATCCCCAGAGATTCTGTGGAAGAGCAAAGTCAAAAACAACATTTGAAAAGATTAAAAAGCACACACACTTCACTTGAATCATCTGGATCATTTCAGAAGCTGGAGTTCTACTGAACTAAAAGTAAAAGTAGTCTGTTAGTCTATTTTTAAGTGAAAAGTTCCGTGGTGCGGCTTCACGCTTATGTCACAAAACCAGAAGATATTTGGAAACATGTGGATGGAAGGAAGTCGTTCTGTTGGGCTCCGTCCATGAAAGTAACTCTGGGAAAACTGAGAAAATGTCCCGGTTTTCTTCATCTACATGTCATTGTATTCTTTATTTTTCACTTTATAAATTGGCAGTAATTTGTGTACTGTATTTTTCGGATTATAAGGCGCATTTAAAATCCCTTAATTTTCTCCAAAATTGACAACGCGCATATTAATTCTGGTTGTGTTTACTGACCTGAACTGATTTTCACATGTATTCCACTGAGGCCCTGTCCACACTAGTTCATATTCGAGTTATTTTTGTTTTGGATACAGTGTTCGTTACACTAATCTGATGGAAAACGGCTCCAGAGACGGAACGATCGGGTGCCTCCAGCTCCCACAAATTCATCTGAGTACAGACCTGATCTGTCACAGTGTGGACGCCTGAAAACACTGATACTCTGATGTAGGAGATCTAGTTGTGTGTTTATTGGACCACGTCACTGTGACTTGCTCCTTCCTGATTCTCTAAGTCCTGGTCTCAGTCCCGGTCTGGTCCCGGACCTCATTTAGTCCTGGTTCAGTCCTGGTTCAGTCCGGAGGCGCAAATAATGAAGAAAATTGTTGTTCGTTTTCTTATTTTTGGTTTTATATTGAAAACAAGGTTCTTCTTCTGCCACATTTTTCACTTTGACTTTGATTTTATTACGACTTCATTCTCGTAATATTATAACTTTGTTCTCATAATATTACGACTTTATTTTAACTTCGACTTTATTCTTGTAAAATTATGACTTTTTCTGGCTTCGACTTTATTCTCATAATATTACGACTTTAATGTTGAAATGTTACAACTTTATTTTATTCTCGTAGCACTAGCATAATTTTTTATTTATTTGTTTTATCTGACCCTTATACTCCTTCGTAGTTTTATTTTGAAAAACAAATGAACGAATGATACACAGACTTCAACCAAATCAACTCTGGCAAATAACCCCAACTCCAACCCCCATTTAACTTTCAAATAGTTAAAATAAAACTTTTTGTGATTAAAAAAACAACTCCCTGAAATTTTAACCCTCCAGTTTTTGTGACGCAGAATGTGACAATATACATAAAACAAATATTTGACTGGTACTGCGATATCAAACGTGACACGCGTCGACTCGTTTGTGTTTACAGGTGACATCTTGAGGACTCATTCGAACGAGAGAATGTTTGTTTGGAATTTGCTAATTGCCATGACAACGGTGGGCAACTTTTCATTACCGCCAAACCGCAGCGACTGAAGTTGTTTGGCCGTTCTTCCTCGGCAACAATGGCATCTGTAATTTCATGACTTCATTTTGTAATTTCACAATAGTTTGAATGACAGGGAAACACCGCGTTACATCACGGCCCCGCGTCTGAGTCACCGAGTCATTCATAAACTTTTTAGAGAACTGAACGTACGACCAAAAAAGGCAAAATAACACGGTTCCTATAATAATATTTGGCTGCCGGCAATTTCAGAATTTCAATAAAAGAGAAGGAAAAATAAGCTCCATAAAAAGTGAAACCGAGGACCACTGAATTTCTGAACATGATTTGAAAATTTGTGGGTGTTTTTTGGCCAAATTATGTTTTATTTTGATATTTTGTGCATTATTTAGGGCCCATATTTCTAATTTATGTCGTTTCCTCGTCACAAAAAGACCTGGATTTGTGTTTTGTTTCATTCTCACATTTTTATTTAACACACAAACCCTGCAGATTTAAGTTGAGCTTGTTTTTTTTTTTTTAACTCCATACACCATAAATTTGGATAATTTCAGTCCAGGAATAGACTTTATTGATCCACAAGGGAAATTACTTGGACACAGAAGCTCACAGGTCACATTATAATACAATAAACGTATAAATAAGTAGAAATAAAAAAGCAAGAGATTGGTATCAGTGAGAAAAAATTATATTACCGTATTTTTCAGACTATAAGTTGCACTTTTTTTTTTCATGGTTTGGGTGTTTCCTGCGACTTGTATATTAAAATGTTCACACAGACTAACAGGGGGCGCTCGAGTCTTCAGGTCTAAATCAGCTCTAAACCAGGACAAAACCAGGTCTAACCAAGGTCTAAATCAGTTCTAAACAAGGTCTAAACCAGGTCTAAGCAAGGTCTAAACCAGGTCTAACCAAGGTCTAAACCAGGTCTAAACTAGGTCTAAACCAGGTCTAACCAAGGTCTAACCAGGTCTTAACAAGGTCTAAACTAGGTCTAAACTAGGTCTAAACCAGGTCTAAACCAGGTCTAAATCAGATCTAAACCAGGTCTAACCAAGGTCTAACCAAGGTCTAAACCAGGTCTAAACCAGGTCTAACCAAGGTCTAAACCAGGTCTAAACCAAGTCTAAACTAGGTCTAACCAGGTCTAAACAAGGTCTAAACAAGGTCTAAACTAGGTCTAAACCAGGTCTAAACTAGGTCTAAATCAGATCTAAACCAGGTCTAACCAAGGTCTAACCAAGGTCTAAACCAGGTCTAAACCAGGTCTAACCAAGGTCTAAAACTAGGTCTAAACTAGGTCTAAACCAGGTCTAACCAAGGTCTAACCAGGTCTTAACAAGGTCTAAACTAGGTCTAAACTAGGTCTAAACCAGGTCTAAACCAGGTCTAAATCAGGTCTAAACCAGGTCTAACCAGGTCTAACCAAGGTCTAAACCAGGTCTAAACCAGGTCTAACAAGGTCTAAACCAGGTCTAAAACCAAGGTCTAAACAGGTCTAAAACTAGGTCTAAACCAGGTCTAACCAAGGTCTAAACTAGGTCTAAACTAGGTCTAAACTAGGTCTAAACCAGGTCTAAACTAGGTCTAAATCTCAGTCTAAACCAGGTCTAACCTAAAAGGTCTAAACCAGGTCTAAACCAGGTCTAAACTAGGTCTAAACCAGGTCTAAATCAGATCTAAACAAGGTCTAAACCAGGACTAAACCAGGTCAGAGGTTCTAGTCTTGTGTGTGAGTATCTGCTGCTCCACTGTCACTTGGCTCTACTGCGCATGTCTCCTGCAGAAAGAGCCTCTGTCCTGTCTGTGTCATGTCAGTCGATCATTACTTCTGCACCACTGAAAACGAATAATCGAGCAGCAGAAAGAAAGTTTGGAGTGAGAGAGAAACTCGTGACACCGGGAGGATGAAACATGAAACTTTCCTGAAGTCGCTGGATGGACGGACAAAGTCTGGACTTCAGCGACACCGAAACCATCCTGTCGGGATTCAGAAAGACCAGAATAATTCTAACTGGAACTGATGCTGAGCCGAGACCGAGTTCCTCAGAAGTGACACCGAGGAAGAAGAATTGAATGGATTTAGTGATTTGGAGTGAGATGGAGAGTTTGTTTGTTGTTTATGTTCTAGTTTATCTGAAGAACTGTTCATATGTGACGTTAACAGTCTGTTGTTCTCTCTTCTATTGTTTTTACTACAACTTGACTTTCAACAGGAAATGTCAGTTCCTGGCCTCTGATTTTATAAAAAAAAAAAAAAAAATTCCCCCAAAAAGTGCAACTTATATATGTCTTTTTCTTCTTCATTGCTCAATTTTTTGGGTTGGTGCGACTTATACTCCACAAAATACTGTAAATGTATGTACAGTAAGTGAAAAAAACAAAACAAAGAAGTAAAAAACTGAACTAAAGGTAAAGAGTTAAACATGAAAACTACCACTTCATGACATCACAAGGTGGAGTTTGAGCTTTGGAGATGTAGACAATAATAATAAAGACTTACTTAAACATATGAATGAACAAAACACAACTCCAGGTCTGTTTTTGACAACATTTCAGAGTCAGTTTTGCGTAATCTTGAACGTTTAAGTTAAATTTCTGTTTCTAATTTCCTTATATTTCATTTGGATTATGGCATGAATATTACGTAACTCTCCTGAACAGTCCTTTGAGAGTGAGTTTTTGCAGAGTTTGCTTCAAAAATCTCACACCTGATTGAAAATATGAACATTTTTCTCTCCGTTCATGTTCCTGACAG